TATCTCCTATATCTCCTATATCTCCTATATCTCCTATACCTATCTACCTATCTACCTCTTACCCTAGGACATAATGGAGTTTCCGGGGATACTCTCCGAAGACATGTAATCAAGCAAAATGTACAAGGTGTACAATGTCGAAGTTTCATGCAAAAAAAATGAGAAACTGTTCATATCTTATTTATCAAGTAAAAAAATATCAATTATAAATGAACAGCAAGAAAGCAAGTAGAAAAGTTATTTGTATCTGATTGACTAACGAAGATTTACCACAAAAAAGTACAAAAATAGTATACCACATAAACAAGAGGAACTAATATTTACTATTTCAACTTCCAATATAATTATCAGTCAATTTGAGTCAGCATTATTATCATCATCGTGCATATCAACATGATCTGAGCAAAACCAAATCGAATCTGTTGTAATTTTCAATTTTATTCTGCAACCATTACATAACCATCTGGAACAGTTCTCATCGTATTCAATCCATTCGAATTGATCGTCCTGATGATAACACTGTATAGCTTCTATTTGTGTTGGATCATCTCTAGAAATGCTGGTTTTATATCCGTTTGCACCTGAAAAATGACACAACAATGTCTAGAAAGATGCATATCTATGACTTACATTTAATTGCTTTTGATTTCAAGTTTTTCGGCTTCTTGCACATAATTTGAGACCCGATAAAAGACGAACGTCGTTTAGCAACTGAACGAACTTGCTTCACTGGTTGATAATCATCACTAAAATCAGCCAACACTTGAATTTCATGAAGACGACGTCGATAATCTTTAGCGTTCCATGATTTGAACGCTTCAGTTACCACATATTGACATCTAGGACTACAAAGAAATATTTAATACATAAATTAAAAACCAAATGATTATGTTATCTCACCTTCTAATATCATCCTTTAGAAGCATACACACCGTCATAAGTACATTCAATGTTGATATCATCAAACGAGATCTTCCAACAATCTGAATCCGATTTATGGCTGAAAACTAAAAAAGACAACAATATGACATGAAGTGGTGAAAATATGAACACCACCATACTCCTCATTCGCATTCAGCTGAATTTGTTGATGAAGTAAGATAAATATTGAGCAAAATCAATATATTTTTATATTCATGAATGAAATGATTATTCGTCGATTGTTTTAAAGCAACAAAAGTTTTCCAAAATAATTTCTCTGTACAGACAGACAACGAATTTTGTATAAAGTCACTTATACAGGGTTTAAATGATTCCCACTCATGCCTAACTGCATTAGCATCTAATCTTGGAAAATTTTTATATTTTTCACGAAGAAAATTTAACTGACACCGACCATAATTAATGCAATCCAACTTCTTTTTATTTTTTATGAGATATTGAGGATCAAATAATATACAGGGTGTTCCAAAAGTCCGGTCGAAAAAAAAATATAAATATCTTCATCATTGCTTAACTAAACTTCAAGGTTCATTTTTCTGTTGGACAGAGGAATGTTCAAAGTGTTTTTTGGTATGCTTGGAAATTTTTGTTGAGGCTTGTAAAAAAAGCTATCAAGTTTATTATGATGAGATTCAGATTTTTTGCAATATTTTTTAATAAATGAGGTACTGCAAACCTGTTTCAAGGAGATATAAATATTTTCTAATATTGAAATAATGTAGATGAGTTCCTCTTTCACATAAAAAAATTATTATTTGGTTTTGCTCAAACATAACTGGATAGTATGGATATCTCCAACGGCGGATTTTTCATACTAGCATCTAAGAAAGTGCAAAAGATGTAATAAAAGT